ATATGGGGCTGAGTGTTGGCCCGTTAAGAACTCACATATCCAGAAGATGAAAGTAGAAGAAATAAGGATGTTGCGGTGGATGTGCGGGTACACTATGATAGATAAGATTAGGAATGACGATATTCGGGAGAAGGTACATGTGGCTCCCATTGATGACAAGATGCGGGAAGCGAGGCTTAGATGGTTCGGACATGTTCAGAGGAGAAGCCCAGATGCTCCGGTACGGAGGTGTGAGCAGCTAGTTGTGGATGGCACGAGAAGAGGTAGAGGGCGACCTAAAAAGTATTGGGGAGAGGTGATCAGGCAGGATATGGCGAGGCTCCAGATTTCCGAGGACATGACACTTGATAGGAAGATGTGGAGGTCGAGTATTAGGGTTGTAGGTTAGGAGGTAGTTGAGTCGTGCCTTACTACGTACCATTGTGGGACTAGCCATGTAGGGTTTTTGTCTAAGATAGCTAGTGGCAATGTTGTGACTTACTATTTCGCTTTTCAGTGCATGTCCTATTTACTAGCTATCGCTTTTGCTTTGCATCTTTCTTCTAGATTTCATGGTGTTCCTATTTTTCTTATGATTATTGTGATGATACTAATATTTACTAATATTGTCTCCCTTTGCTTTGCATCTTTCTTCTGGATTTCATGGTGTTCCTATTTATCCTATGATTGTTGTTGTGATACTAATATTGTCTTCTTTTTGTCCTTTTTGTCTTTTTGTTTTTTGAGCCGAGGGTCTTTCGGAAACAGCCTCTCTACTCCTTCGGGGTAGGGGTAAGGTCTGCGTACACACTACCCTCCCCAGACCCCATTAGTGAGATTTTACTGGGTTGTTGTTGTTGTTGTTGCCGGTCTTTGATATATTGCACATGTTATTTGACTAATGAGTATCACATGACTTGAACCCCGTCACTGCTTCACCGAGGCTAGTCTTGATGCTTACTGGGTACCGACCATAGTGTACTCATACTATACTTCTGCATATTTTGTGCAAATTTAGGTTTTGGAGGCAGCGGACCTAGGCAGACGGCAGTGAGAGCTTTCATTGACCGCGTGGATTCAAGATAGAACTGTATTGACCGTCACAGTGCCTTCAAGTTCTATCCTTACTTAGATACTGTCATTTTTATATCCGAACAGCATTGTATTTTGAGATATTAGCATGTATTCAGTTAGAGCTCGTGACTCTATACTACCTAGTTCTGGGGAGATGTTTTGATTATCGCCACTTTGGCTTGTATTACCTCTATTTCCGCTTTTATATTAATTTATGTCTTATTATATCATGTCTTGGGAAATTAAATATTGTTAAGTGATAGGATTAACTAGTATTAGAGATTACGTGCCATCACGACCCCTATGTTGGAAAATTTGGGTCCCAACAATATCAAAACCACCCCCCACTATTATACTTGATGTCTACATTTACCCCTCATCCGTTAAAAACTCCAACACATCTTAAAAATTCACGTGACTGTAATTGGACCAATCATTCTGCCCCATTTTTAATGACTAACCTGCCCGACCCAAGTTCTTAACCCAAATCGTATCGGTTAAAATCCTATATCTAAACTCTGGTTCCTTTCTTTTCTCTCGGAAGCTAGTGGTCGACGCAGCAGAACAAAGCTTCATCAATTATTCATGAATGACAGTGGCGGATGTAGTGTAGTATCATCGGGTTTAACTGAACCCATAATTTTTGACGCGGAGTAAAAATTTATGTGTAAAAATTCATTAAAATTATAAAAATAATAGATATGAACCCATAACTTTACAAATATAATGAGTTCAATGCTAAAAGTTTTAAAAGTTAAACCCATAAAATTTAAATCATGAATCCGCCTATGATGAATGAGATTCCCTTCTTTTTTGAGCTAAGAATAAAATCATGGTAGTTGGTTTGCCAAAGACTGGACAGTGACAACTGCAACTTAAAGCAGAAACCTTGTATATAAAATAAAATTATTCATGAATGGGAATCTAGGAGATGACTAAGAGAGACATTATTAGTAAGAAACATAAAAATGAGAAAATCACATCTCTTCATGCGTGAATTTTTAAGGTGTATCACTTACGTGATATGTCAGTAAGTGGAATAAAAACGGAGGTTGATAGGTCAGTCAGTGTTGGGAGACCGTAGTTAGGTCTTGGGAGTTGTAGCCAGCCATTATCTACATCATTTATAACGGCTAGTTTTAAAGAAAACTATAGACTATTTCGTTTGGAAGTTTCCTGAAATCTGGATATAGACTATAGACTTTAATGCAATAATCTTTATATTTAATAAATAAATCATTAGTTACAATACTAATCTTTTGTGTTATGTTCTGAATTAACCTAGATGTTGATGTTACTGGCTTGCTTGGAGTTCAGCTCGGCACGTTTGCATTTTAGCTCGACTGCCTCATTTATGGAGAGTCTAGGCTCAAATCAATTCGATTTCGGTTTAACAAAAACGTTTTTATTTCTTCTTCTTTTTTAAAACTGTACTTTACAAATGATGTTTTATGTTACATTTTTAATTCAAAACATTCAAACTTTAAATTCTAAATTATTTAATAATTCACGTAAGTCATATTTTCTTGTTAACAAAAATCCCCTAAAAATGTTGCCGAGTATGGGAAAACAACAGAGGAGCCTACGCAGGCTGGACAGGGGCTCGGTTAAATTATACTCAGCAGTATCCCCAATTTGTTTGATTGCATTTTGAACTTCTAGAGTTAAATTTTTTAATTTTGACCGCGAATTCAGATATAGAATCTTTATTTTTTTTTATGAAATAGAATTTATAAAATTTAAAAATTACATTAAAAGCTTTATAAGTCATAATAATTAATAATATGAAATATTAACAATGCATATAAAAAAATTATGATAAAAAAAAACTCGTTTGAGTTTCAAACCAAAATGCATCAAACAAATTCGCACTAGGGAATAGTAAAGTTCGATTGGATTCGACTCGGGCTCGATTGGGTACTGTAAAAATCATTAGGCTCGAGTCTGACACTGAGGCAATACGTAGCTGATTTTTTCAAACTAACGTATTTTCTATACTAATATAAGAAAATAAATAAGTAGAAGTTAATTTCGTTGACTCTATGCCAATGACACGCTCTCAAGTATATCTTTGGATCCTATACAAGATTTGAATATTAATTTACGGGAACAAAAACAATAAGCACAGTGAAATAATTTACAAAATACTCGGTTTTGAAGACATTTATTACTTCGCTGTCATCCTGATGACATACCTCAATTATCTTTGGATCCTATTCGAAATTTGAATATAAGATTGCGTAAAGAAAAGACACAGTTTTCGATCAAAAAAAGAAAAGAAAAGAAAAGGCACAGTGAGAGAATCGTAAGAGAAACTCGGTTTTAAATACATTTATTGCTCTCTTATCATTATAACGTATTGCCCAATATTCTATTACTTCCTCCGTTTCACAACAAGTTTGCCTTACGCACATTCATCAAGAAAATATTAAATTTTAGATAAAAATAGCTAGTGTGATTAAATTATCCTTAATTAAATATTACAGCATAATTAATGTAAGAAGTAAAAAACTTTTTAAGGAATACGTACATAAGGATAATTTTAAAAAAATAAATTAAATTTTTTTTTGATTATATAAATTAACACTTATTTTGGATTCAAATAAAAAAATAAATTGATAGCTTATTGTGGACCGAAAGTATTATCACGCGAAAAGTGTAAGCACCTGAAAACTACAAATGCAAAATCCTGTTTTTATGAAACAAATGCTAAAATATTTATGTGCGCAAAATGATGAATCAATGCACATTCATTTTATCGAGGTAGTATTTAAAATTTATTTTTTCCCAGGCACGAATCAATGCACGTTCATCTTATCGAGGTAGTATTAAAAATTATTTTTAAAAAACAATATTTACTTAAAGAGGTGGTCTTAAGTACTCAAGGGTAGTTTAGTCTTTCCAGGTGCACACTCTTCCTATCCCTCTATTTATAGAAGTCTCTATCAGCCAGCTTCATCGAAAGGTTTCTGAAAACATTTTCGTGAGTTTAATTAAGCAAGTTGAAAAAGGATTAAAAAAATGGAGAGAAAAACTTTTGGGCTTATCTTCCTGCTTCTCATTGTGTTTGCCTCACGTAAGTCTTTTTCCATATTTTATTTTATGAATCTATATTTAGGATTTAGGACTAATGCTCACAGTCCCAATCCTTTTTTTTTAGGTAATGGTATTGTCATTTTGTAGTGTAATTACTCTATTCATTGGTCCTAACTATCCTTACTTCCCATTGAACACCTAGAATGCACGTGTACTATGTCTGTTATTTATTATCTTGATGTTCCATTTTATTTACAGTATCGTTTCGTTAATTCGCTTAATTAGGATGAAAATTCTATTAAGACGGGAGAAATTAGTAAACATTGATTCAGCATTGGAAAATAAAAAGAGAAATGTCTTTAACGTCTAACGTGTTAATGAAATGGTCTCTAACTTTCCCCTTTATAAGTTTTGTTGTCATTTAAAGATTAATTATGTCTTGGTAATAATAATAAGATTAAACTTATATACATTTATAATGTGGAAAACTTTTTACACCATTGACGTGCATGGTTTTACCCATGTTATAATAGGATACTTACCTTTTTCTAAGTTACTAATCCATTCTTGATCTCAAAAGTTATTTGTACGTAAAAGTAACCTTGATGGTGTAACATTCATAATGTACAATTTGTGTAAAAAAAAATAAATAAATAAATAAACTCGTAATTTCATACATTTGCAGAAATGGCAATCCCGCAAGTGGAGGGAAGAGTGTGCATCTCACAAAGCCAGGGCTACCGCGGTCCATGCGTCCATGACCACAACTGTGCTCTCGTTTGCCGCAATGAAGGCTTCTCCGGCGGAGATTGCATTGGCTGGCGACGGAGGTGTTTCTGCACCAAGCTTTGCTAATTGGATCTATCTTTGCCAGCCACAATTTGATGTCATAAGTCAATTGGCTATCTTTAGTTATTGTCCTTTTCTGTTATTGTTTTCCATTAGGGACTAAATTTTACCCTTCGTAGAATGAGAGCATCTATGATGCTTTTCTACCCTTTCTTATTTAGTTTGTGAAAAACTCTTTTATAACGGTTCTTATTTTACGGCAATTCGTATTCTGTGTGTTCCTAAAATTTAAACTTACTAAATGTCAAAGATATGTTGTTTGATCCCAACTCACTTGTTTCTGAGTTCTAACATGGTTGTTTGATCCCAACTAAGGTAATTAACCCAAGAAAGGAGAAAACCGATTGATTCAGTATTGGACATCTTTTAGCACTAGCAGATTACTTATTAGGGACAAACTAGCAAAGTGGGCTGTGGTTGTTGATCAAAGATGCCTCTTGTGTAATACAGAGGATGAAAGCATATATCATATGTTCTTTGAATGTAAAGTCACTGCAATTATATGGAACAAACTTCTCAGTTGGCAAGGCATACACAGACAGGTATGTCAATGGCAAGAGGAGATAAATTGGGCAATGGTAAATGCTAGAGGGAAAAGTACTACAATTACAGGGTATAGGATGGCTCTAGTAAGATGCATATACCACATGTGGGAGGTGAGGAATCATAGATGCTTTCAAAAGGCACAGAGGGACACAGGGGTTATCATCAGACAGCTTATTCAAGAACTGTTTCATAGAGGCAGCTCTAAGCCTAAATTAGCAAGGAGGTTTAAACAATTGAATTTCTATCCATAAAACTAGTCTGCCTAACTTCAGATTGAACTTCTATCCATATTCTCAGCTTTACACTGCTTTTAGCCTGACCGTAACTAATCTGCAGAAATGTGAGAGCAGCTAACTCGTGACCACAAAACACAAAATACTAAATCAGGACAAACTGATAGAAACTGAAACAAATCTCCACTAGAACACAATGGACTTCTCTAAGCATCAACAACCTGATGATACTTTTTTAATCCTACTAATACTAATGGCACCAATTCAGTAACAACTAAGAGAAGACATCGTTGAATGGATGATTCTCCTACCTTTGGGCTACCATGGGATTATCAGCACTGTTAATCATTCATTCACATAAGGTATTTTCGTTAATAGTCATCAAACTAAATTAAACACAATTCCCACTTCATTCATTCATTCACACCTAATTCATCCAATTCAAAATGTAATGAACCTCAATGGCTCCTACCACTGGAATTACTGCCACCAGATGATCTTGCATCCATGGATGGAACAGTAGCTGCATCATTTGGCTGCAAAAGCGGAAAAATGAAAGGTATAAAAATCTTTTGAATACTATGTAACAAATAAAAGTGTAAGTTTATTTCTTTAGTTCTTTTACAAATGAAGAACAAAATTAAACCAACAACACCACTACCCCAAACATTAAAGAACTCGAGTGTTTACCGTTATAGGAAGAGAATCAAAAATCTCTGCAAATTGTTCAGGTATTTTCCCTTCCTTCATTATCATGTATGCTTTCAAAGCATTCATCAGTTGATTGTACCTCTCTTGGCATTGATTGTACGCCTCCTGGCATTGATTGTACTTCTCTTGGCATTCATGAAAACATGAATCATCATTATTCGAAGAAAAGTTAACACAACCAAGACAAAGTCTTTTCTCTCTACAACTACTGCTCGGAGCAGCTTCTAATCCTAGGCACCTCACCGTTCTAGGGTGCTCTTTTCCTAGCACTTTACCTACGGAATCATTTGAAGACACTTCATACTCATCCGTTGTACTTTGTCTCAAAGCTAGCTCAACTTTTTCCTGAATAAAACATTCACATCCCATCATAAATTTGAGCAAAGAAAGTTGCAACTACTAAGCAGATATAGGTTTATGATTTTATGCTGAAACACAAAAGAACAATGGTGGAACATGAACTAACAAACAGGAAGATACCTACTGCCCAGGACAATCATGAAATGGAGCATAGAGGGTGTTTGGATTGGCTTTTAAGCTGGTCAAATAAGCTTTTAAGCTCTTTTTAGCTTTTTTCACTGTTTGGCAAAGTTAAAAAGAGCTTAAAATAAGTTAAAAACTGCTTAAAACAAGCCAAAAGCAATAAGCTGGGCAACCCCAACTTATTGCTTTTTGGCTTAAAAGCTATTTCTGCTGAAAAGCCACTTTTTTAAGCCAATCCAAACGGGCTCATAATCTAAATGGACGACCACAAGCCTATCTTATGGCATCAACATAAAGGTAGACTGTAAATTCCATGCAACATAAATGGGCAAATCTTTCAAATATGCTTTCATTTTCTTTAGCTTCAGATTTCTGCTTTATTAGAAGTCTGAGAAGCAGCTGGATAATCTTCTATCTTATTGCGTTAATCTTTTCTAATATAAAAAACTTTTACATTTGTACTCCACAGAAACATTGAAGGAAAACAAACCTGTTCTATGCGTATATGCTTAAGCTAGTCGATGTTCAAGTCTATCTTGGTATCTTCATCTTAGAAGTGGTTTCCTTAATGTTTAACTGAGAACTTGATAGGAAAGGGAGACTCGAGATTGGGAGTTTCTACCTGCTTATGTATTTTCCACGTGCAAGAGTAGCATATTAAGATTCGTTTACTAATGTCTTCAGGCTATGGAGTGGTTTCGAGTTTTATCTATTTTGTGAGTATCAACTAGACTTTCACAAAATCCACTCTGGAAAACAAAAAATTATAGCTACAATAGAACCAAAGGGCAGAATCCATTGTCGATAGATTCCCTATGTTTGTTTTAAGTGTTTTGAACCATCAGAAATAACTTCTCTTGTTACTTTTCATTTTTCCTTTTATAACTTTTTCTATAGGGGAGGATTGAAAAGAGGGTTTAAGAAATGCTTATAGATAAAGATTAGGGAAACACATTTAGCACAACTGGTTTTTAGTTAGGAAACAGGGCATAAGGGTTGGAAAAAGATTTGTATTTTGCTTTGCAATAGCCCCAGGAGAAACGGAAAAAAACATGTTTGAAAGCTTTGCCCATTTGTGTTACATGGACTTTACAGTTTGATATGGAGTTAATGTCATTAGATAGGTCTGTCCACCAGCTTTTCAGAGTTACCAACAGTGAAGGGAGAAAAGCATGGAGATAAAGAGGCCAATTGAAATTTCAGAGACAAAAGTTGCTGCCAAAACAACAAAGCAGTGTTGTCAAAACATAAAAAGCGCACAAAAGAGCAGAAGCCCTATTGGAGCTTAAAGCGCACTTAAAGTGTGGGCTTCACTGATAAAAAGCGCACTATGAAGAATTTTTTAAATATATATATCTAATATTTAGAGAACATAATAGACACATAAATAATAAATATATTGCTTATAATGAAGTAAAACCTCATCAAATCAACTTAAGTCTTAATAAGAAAAGATAAACTCATTCTAGATTCCACTTCTAATCACTAAAATAATATTCCTCCATATATTCTTCCTCAATAGAGTGATTCTCATTGGTGTCACTAGAACTATAGCCTCCAATCTCCTCTTCCCTTGACTCATCAGAAACAATCTCATCTTCTATGTCAACAGACTCAATACGTGGAGCTCGGGAGCTTGAGGCATTGGCTGCAATATCTCCTGACTGTCTCTTTTGTCGCCTTGTGTATGTCAACGCGTTCTCACTACCCGACGCTCTTGCAACATTACCTCAAGTCGAGCTATCATCACCAAACACCAACTCATCTTCTGCTTCCACATTAACACCCATCTTCCCAACCAGCAACTCATTACTATGATCAATGTTATCCAATGAGATTGGATCAATAACACTACGCAAGTCATAACGGGCTTTTAAAGCACGATTATACTTGACATACACTAGGTCATTCAATCTTTGATGCTCCAATCTGTTTCTTTTTTTTGGTATGGATCTGTTGCATGGAATATCGTAACATTAGTGATATAGTCTAATTGATTAACTAAGCAAAGAAAATAAATAAGAAGTATACCATTACGAGTACTTTACATGCTCAATTACGCTCACACCCAACAACACTAGTCGTTAAACCCAAAATTCTAATGGCTAATTTTTGGAGATGAAGAGTTAAATTACCATATAAATTCCACCATTCAACTGAGTTATGTTGACCATCGTTATTTCTAAGTTAATGTAACTATGCAAGTATTAAGTAAAATTTTAAATATAAACTAATAATTGAGAATTTAAAGGTTAATATTTTCAGTTACCGGGAAATCTTGTCGTTCTAGATCTTTTTGCAATCGGAAGGCCAAATTGTTGTTCAGCTTTAGTGTACAGTCTTATCTCAGATATAATATTGTCTTGTACTTCAGTGCTTGGAACCAATTTTTCAATACAAGCGTACAACCCATCTGTTACTTCTCTACAATTTTCAATAGCTGAATTTTGATAGAAGTACTCTGGATTTAGATAATGTCCAGCTGCATGTAATGGATGATGCAATTGGCATTGCCATCTTTCATCAATAATCTTAAAGATATCTTTATACTTTGCAATATTCCCTTCAAATGCCTTTGCAATAGCCTCCTTAGCTCAATCCATGGCTTCATAAATATACCTCATTGCAGGTTTTTTCTCATTATCAGCTAATCGCAACACTTTAACAAGAGGCACATTATTTTCAAAATATACACAACCTGGTTCCAGAATGTTGTCATCAAGACAGTATGAGCTACACTTTTTCCCTTTGGTAACTTAGACCATCTACTAATCACCCATTTTTGACAGTGCAATCGTTGCAAAGTCAGAAAACTCGTTGCAAATCGAGTAATCCCACATTTCATCAACTCTTTATTTTTTGTGAAATCTCTCATCATATATAGGACTCCTGAGTGCCCATAAATGAAACCGACAAGGGCAATTACTCTTTGAAGGGCCTTCTTAATGTTTGGAATCTTCCCTACGTCTTCCAACATGAGATCTATACAGTGCGCTGCACATGGCGTCCAGTATATGTGTCTTCTTTTTTTCTGTAAGAGTTGACCTATAGAAAAAAAGTAAATAGATATGTTAAAATTTAGGAATCAGAACCTTGAATCGATATTAGAAAGTAAAACATAAAACTTAAACATTTAAAGCAATAAATTCTTACCGGCCAACACAAAGTTGCTACCATTATCACTTATAACTTGAACCACATTATGCTCTCCAACACGCTCCACATATCTATCAAGCAATTCACATAGTTTCTCTCCGGTCTTAACAAATGAGGAAGCATCTATTGACTCCATAAACACTGTTCCATGCGGAGAATTTACCAAAAAATTTATCAAAGTTCTTTGTTTTCTATTTGACCATCCATCCGCCATAATGGAACATCCATACTTCAACCATTCTTCTCTATGTTTGTTTATAATCTCATTGGTTAACTCAACCTCCTTCCTAAGTAACGGAACCCTTAATTCGTGGTAGCTTGGAGGCTTCAAGTTTGGACCATACCTTCCTATAGCCTCAACTGCTTCCTTAAAACTTTTTGAGCGATCAACATTGAATGGGATCCCATTATCGTAAAAGAAGCGAGCAACTTTTTGAATTGTCATGGCTCTTGCTTCTTTATCACATGAATATTTGATATTTGTTTGCCTAAGTGTTCCTTGCTTTTGTAGAAACACATCCATGGGTCCCTTTCCTTTGGCCAATTTCTTACTAGAGCCACTAGGAAAGCTTCCTCCACCTCTTTTCTTATGAATGATCTCGTGGACTTCATCTTCTCCACCAACATCGTTTTGATAATCAAACTCATCAAGTCGAGAAAATTCGTTAGTATAGACTTCTTTTCTTATTTTTTTTCTCCTTCATGTAATTTTTCAATTCCTCTCTAACCTCCTGTGGGCATACTACACACTTTGCTGCATTCCTAAAGTTCCCAATCAAATGTTGTTTTGCCCGATTAATTCCACCGGTGGTTGTTTTTCCACAAAAATTGCATGTGACTCTTGTAGTGTCATTAGGATCCTTCAAATGATTATATTTCCAGCCAGGATCCCTTCGATTGCCTTTGGACAAGTCCTCTGCCATTTCTAATTCTGGAAAAAAAAAATTAAAAAAAAAATATATAATGCATCTTGCAAGCAATTATAATTTTTAAATAGTAATATATAACAAGAACACAAAGCTGGACAGTCCTCTGTCATTTATAATTCTAAAAACTTATTAAAAAGTAATATGTAATGCATTTTGCATGTAATTATTATTTTTAAATAATACTCCAATATACAACAAAAATATAAGGTAGACAGATCCCCTGCCATTTAATTCTGAAATAAAATAAATTAATATTGTGACATTTGCATGCAATTATAATTGTTAAATAATGATATACAACATACAACAAGAATATAAAGGTGAACACCACTGGGTCCACCCCTATGCCATGACTTCTAAGAAAGTGTTGAGTCCACTATTTGTGTCTTTATTATTATCCTCTTTACAGGTGTTGCATATATAGTGATAGTTATATAAAAGTTAGACAATATCAATCATCAAACGAGGACAAGTGTCTCATTTAATTCTACAAATTTTCTACAACGACAAAAAGGACTAACTATAAAATTTCAGCACCAAACACATTTATTTTCTAACTTTACCAATTTATTCACTTTACCAAAAGGAAAAATAACAAAAAACTTAATCACAAGAAAAAGTCAACTCAGTCAACTCTCATCTTTAATGGAGAATTCTTGTCTGTATCTCTTATTACAAAGGAGTAAAAGAAGAAAAAAATGAGTAGAAGAGAGAGGCATACAAAAAGTATAAGAGATAAAGAAACAGAGAAGAGAAGAATACATGTGATAGAGGCTTGTCCCGCTACAATTGTTCGATTTTGTCTTTTTCTTGCAGTCCTTCAACTCCTCTGGTCTTCTTAATTTGCTCACTTAATTAATTTTTCCATATTTCCCTGGCTATTTGCCATAAATATGGTCTAGGGAATTGTGACGACTAACTTATTATAATTTTAAAAAAGGAATGTAAAGGTCTTCTGACACACGCGCCTCGCTTGAGGTCACGCGGAGCGGCAAAGTGTTTGCGCGCCTCGCTTTTGAGCTTAGGCGCGCTTTTAATTTCACTACAACAAAGTAATACATGTAAAAACTTTTTTCAAGAAACACCAAAGCTTGGTACTAATAATTTTTACTGATTCCATGACCGTCTATAACATAGCCTACAATTTATGGAATAAAATAAAAAAGCAGAGAAAGGTATGAAGTAGTAAATGCAATGCGCTGAATTCATCTAATATCTGGTTTAATGGTACTGGTTGCCTGGTAATATTTCCACAACTGAAGAGGTTAAGGTAGTGAGTAAAGAATACTGTTTTTGTGAGCGGTGTTGTTGTCTGGCATTTGTCAGATGATATTTCTTGGAAAATAAAAGCATAAGGAAGAAAAAGCACAATAGTTAAATTGCATCTTTGCCAACTGCAATGTGCCACTAACCTATACCAAAAGTTATATACAGTTTGGATGCTACTCTGTTATTCACTTGTTATTCACTAACCGAACTAACAACAACAACAACCCAGTATAATTCTACTAGTGGGGTCTGGGAAGGATAGTGTGTACGCAGACCTTACCCCTACCCTGGGGTAGAGAGGCTGTTTCCAAATGACCCTCGGCATCCTTCCCTCCAAGAACTCCCCACCTTGCTCTTGGGGTGACTCGAACTCACAACCTCTTGGTTGGAAGTGGAGGGTGCTTACCATCAGAGCAACCCAAGTAAATATAAATAAAACAAATGTTAGAAAGAAAAAAGGCACTGCAGACTTTGCATCATAATGGGAAGGCTACGGTACAATTCTCTTTCATATAAGCCCTCCTAGGGGAACTCATCTGGGAAAGCAAGTGAAGAAAACAAAACAATAGATTCAGGTACCATCATCATTAATGCCAGAGAGTACTGCAGGATATCCTGACACTTCCAAATTTAATTATTAACCAAATTACGAAATAGTGACATAGTAACAAGTCCCTGCCAACAACGGAATTACTCATACCACTTCCATGACAATGTAGGATATCTCATTCATCGCAAGATAGCAATTGAATTACAAGTGCATAACTTTCCAATCACTAAACATGTAAACTAAAAGTATTTTGCCAATAAAAACTGATGTATCAGTAAACTACAATTGGCTTCAGAACTTTGCGAGCTGATTTATGCAGCAAATACACTCCAAAGTATACAACAGGTATATATTTTAATGATATGGGCTTACTGCACATCCTATTACAGCGCTACAGAATTTTCATACAGAAACCACCTCTGCATTAGACTACAGAAGAAGGGCAGAAACATCAAGGATACAGGCAAGTGGGTTGTCTTCTACATCAAAAGAAACTACAACAACAACAACATACCCAATATTATCCCACACCGTGGGGTTTGGGGAGAGTAGTGTGTACGCAGACCTTACTCCTACCTTGTGAGGATAGAGAGGCTATTTCCAATAGATCCTCGGCTCAGGAAAGCATAAGCACCACCACATTAATGAAAATATAGATAAGGGACAGCACCAAAAAGCCATATAAAAGCAGAATAAAAACAACAAGACAGTAAGGTGATCAACAATGAAAGAAAACAACGATTAGGCATAAAAACAGAAAGCGAGACTGCATGCCAATACTACTGTTATGAACACTCTAGACTACCTACTCTACTACCCTAATCCTCGACCTTCATACCTTCCTATCAAGGGTCATGTCCTTGGTCAGCTGAAATTGTGCCATGTCTTGCCTAATCACCTCTCCCCACCTCTTCTTTGGCCTACCTCTACCTCTCCGTAGGCCCTCCAATGTCAACCTTTCACACCTCCTCATCGGGCGTCTGTGCTTCTCCTCCCCACATGACCAAACCACCTAAGTCGCGCTTCCCGCATCTTGTCTTCAATAGGGGCCATACCCACCTTGTCGCGAATAACCTCATTTCTGATCTTATCTAACCTAGTGTGCCCGCACATCCATCTCAACATACTCATCTCTGCTACCTTCATCTTCTGGACACGAGCGATCTTCACTGGCCAACACTCAGCCACATACAACATCGTTGGTCTGACCACCACTCTGTATAACCTGCCCTTAGGTTTCAGTGGCACCTTCTAATCACACAAACACCTGAAGCGAGTCTCTATTTCATCCATCCCGCCCCAATACGATGTGTGACATCTTCATCAATCTCCCCACCCCCCTGAATAATAGACCCAAGGTACTTAAAACTCCCTCTCTTAGGGATGACCTGCGATGCGCTCGCTTTTTGAAGGTCCGAATCCCCACCTACCGCAGTGTTGTGAAGAGTGTGAAGCGAGGAAAAGCGACAAGCCCCTTTTCGCTTAAAGCGAGAAGCGATCCACTCGCTTTTTTGAAGTGAAGCGGAATTTTAAAAAAAAAATACTGCATACTATAAGCAAATGTTCAATACTTCAATGTAAAAACTAAAGAGTAACATCAATTAAAGCACAAAATGAGCATCCTATTCTTCTACAAGATTGCCAAATTCTTGTATTCCACTATCATTATTATATTGCTCATCTTCTTCAACTTCTTCTTCTTCATCAACTACGAAAAATGGCAGTATAACTGAAACGAAAAAATGGGCAACATTTCAGCATTTTTATCACTGAAACAGTGCAAGAAAATGAAGAAGAAGAATGAGAAAGAAGAACCGAAGGGAATTTTAGGAATCTTACATTTAGGGTTGGATAATCACTTTAATAGTTGGAATATGAACTTTTGAACATGTATTGATTAGTTTATATACTATTTGATTAGTTTTGGATTGTTCGGCACCAAATTGAGGGTTTGAGCATAATCTTGGACCGAAAAGTAGGCTTTGAGGCGAGGTAAGTCTCTTTTCTAACCTTATAAGAGGGAATTAACCCCATAGGTGAATTGAATTAAAATATGCTTCTATTTGTGGGGGGAGGGGAGGGGGGCTACGTTCGCACGAGGTGACGAGTATCCGTACGTAGCTACTAATTATTCTATTGTCCGGGTAATCTAGGACACATATCATGCTATACTTACAAATGTTTGTACCCTACTTGTTAACTTAATTGCTTAAGTCTTTTGAAACCTGATAAAAGAATTAAATTTCACTTACTTGAAGTTGTGAATGGAACACTGGACTGTTATTGAGAATTTGTGTTTTCCTTAAAATATTTTCTATTTGCGGAGCGGGCCGAACGCCTCGGTAGCAGATAGATGCATCTATGGTTCGTGCTGTTCGACCCTCGACAGTGCACAGTTTAAATATTATGTTGGATCGGGCCGTACGACCTCGGCATAATTTGCACATGATAAATCTTTGGAACCAATTATAATTGATATTGTTTCTTTGGCTTGAGATATAAATTGTTAAATGATGAAAAATAAATTTGGGACTTAATATTGGTGAAGGGTTTATTTACTGTTTCCTGTTATTGGGTTTTCAGTATTCTTCCTGTAATCCATGCTTAATTAATATTTTGTCATATTATTGTTAGCCCATAGTAAGTGTCAAAGTCGACCCCTCGTCACTACTTCTTCGAGGTTAGACTGGATACTTACTGGGTACATGTTGTTTATGTACTCACGCTACACTCTTGCACTTAAATGTGCAGGATCTGAGGCAGGTGCATCTGGATATTAGTCCGGCGCGCACACTTGATTACCACTTCGAGGCTTCACGGTGAGCTGCCTTCTAAGCCCGTTCTGCAGCAGCCGGAATCTTTCTTTTGATTGTATTTTTCTGTCTATTTCGCTTCGGACAGTAGACTAGTATTCTTTTGTATATTCTACTAGATGATCATACACTTGTGACACCAGGTCTTGGCACACACTAGTAGACTTGCGGTTTTGGTTTTATTCTATGATTATGATTGCACACGGTTGCTTTTGTGCTATTTATTTTAGATCTGTTATTTCTAGAATTCTTTTTAATTTAAGGAAAGTTTAATTACTTGGAAAAGAATTTGTTAAAAAGAGGAAATCACGAGACTAGTTCACAGTTGGCTTGCCTAGCGGCGACGTTAGGCGCCATCACGGTCTATTAT